AGTCGTTCTTATGTTCTATGTAATGTTAAGTAATTAGTAGGTCTTTAATTTGTTGTAATTGTCGTAACGTTATATTTTTTGCCGTCCGTTGAGTAAACTGTAAAAATAAAGTAATAATGAAATCCAACATTAATTTTTAAATACATTTATATAATCCAACTACATAGGACCAAGACAAGACCCCCATATAATTTTTGCCTTCCGGAGACGGTACTCTAAAGCTGCGTTCTTTGGGTCAATAAGAACACGTATTGGTTGACCTGAAACCAATTGCTCCATAAACATACAAAGAAAAACACCGCAATCTCCCAAATGACTACTTTGTTGGGGAACGTTTTCTTCATAAATGAATTGCATATTCAATGGAATCCTTGGGATGTTCCTCCGGGCCCAATACTTAATCTTGTCCAAATAATTTGCCACCCGACGTTCAAATTTGGAAAAAATTCCTTCAGATTGGAATTTTTCATAAGCACCTCTACCAAGACTGTCATAAATATGCACTTCCTTTGACGCTAATCGTAGTTCCCCAAATAGCCAATGATTAGGGGATGAATGAATCGGCAATAAGACCAGTATGAGAATCAGAAAATAAAATTATGTTTATTTACATCACAATACAAAGACATCACAATACAAAAACATAACAAAAAAACGATATTATTTTCAGTATAAACTATTAAGTTTACCGTATCAACATCCCACCAAGCAACCATGAAGTTGGGGTACGTAGCAATACCAGCCATAAACGCCCTCCAGTCCTGTCCTTCTTCCAAAGCATGAGAAACAAAAAAATTTGGAGGCATTATTGTATGTCGGTCGCTCTCAAACCGGCTCTCCATCAAAAGTCGGTACCAAATGGTTATATGCTGCACACATGATACTGTTGTTATTGACTAAAAAACAAATAACTTTTAAAAGAATAAATTAACAATTAATTTACCGCTGACTCCAACCAGCCGTCGTGTGTATGCCCAAACAATGAGCTCCAAAAATCTCCATCTAACACGAAATTAAACAAACGATGCTGGACATCATATGAATGCAATACATAATTTTGAATGACATCCTCACCGCCTGCTACGTAAGGTTGCAAGCGCAACATGGAGAAGTCATGAGCGACACCAAAAACTGGAGTAGGAACGGGGGTTGTTGATTTCATATGAACCTTCTTTTTTGTTCTTCTTTTTTGATTTGGTGTCGTGTGCAACTAAAAACAATATTGAAATGTTTAAATCTATATCTTTAATATAGTTCACAAAAACATATAATCATTGGTTTATAAATAAAACGAATACCTCGGTGTAAGGTGGGCACAAATATTGTGATGGTTTTCGACTCCTCGGTTTATCGGGTGTAACTTCTTTGTCATCATCATCGTCTTGAAAATAATCTACATTTCCCGTTATTATTAGTTCGTCTTCGTCCGGCACATCATCATCAAATTTGTTCCCCGCATTGTAATTCCTCTCCTCCCACTCCTACATTAAAAATAATACGTTATACTTAATAACGAAATACACATAATTTAATCAGCAATATTATCTAAATAAACAAAATATTTATATTAATGTAACTATAATAACCTCTTTAACTCCACTATAATCATTTACATCAAACACATCATCATCAAATTTGTTCCCCGCAAACTCATTCCTTTCCTCCAACACCTACATTAAAAATATAACTTTTTACTCAATAAAAAAAGACACTTTATTAAAAAGTAATTATTATAATCGTAAATGTAACATCTATAACAACCTTCTCGTCTTGAGTATCACCAAAAACATTTTCAGTTGTATGGTTTTTATTCATTACTTCATCCTGTACAACCTATATTTTCAAATATAAAATATGAACACAGATATTCATATATGTTAATAAAATTTAATAAATAGTGTAGCGTGTAACTAACCTGTTCATCATTAAAAATATCGCTCCAAAATTGGTCATTATTCACTTGTTCAACAAAAACCTCTGTAGGTTGTCGGTTCATAAACACATGCTGCTCCAATGCATGTAGCCGTTTCAACACCTCGTCTAGCTTGTGTTTCCCACTGCTCCGACCTCTACCATGAGAGCGACCACTGGACGACATACTAGACGAAGATTCATCTTGTCTCCTAAAATGGTCCCGTACTGGGGATGGAACTGCTTTCCCTTCACCATATACATACTTTTGAAATGACATATAATAAAAAGATGTCATCTCATCATCACCCGGTAGCATGTTTTGTCTTGGTGGTATATAAAAGTATAATAATCAACTTTATTAATATTAAACGAATTAATTTTAAACCTGCATCTTTGACCAAATCTTGTTCACGTCCACCCATTTCATTTTTTTTGTTCCGGTCCATCGTTTCATTCGAGGCAAGTCTTTATTTTTTCTCGATGCAAATCCACATGCACGAACAGCCGGAATCATCTCATATATCCATATCTACAATTTTTTACAACAATTACAGTAATAAAGGTTAAAATTAAAATATAAAAAAAACAATAAAACAATTTAAATATAAGAAAATTTTTATACCCTTATTGGAGCCGTAAATCCTGAGACCGAGTACTTTAAAATTTTACCACCCTCAGAAACTGATAAATTATTGTGTATCTTATTCCATGTATCTTCAAGGTCAACATAGGTAAAATCCCAGAGATAGCTACCCCAAGAGAAGCTAACAAAACAAAAAAACAAAATTGATTATTATATAAATTATAACTTTAATAAAATAGAATTTTTAACGTAAACAAAATATACCTATTCCAGTGATCCAAATTCTCAGCCAAATAAAACCAATCTTCTGGCACCCGATCGTTAACTTCTTTACCCAAAAAACCTTCACACAAAATGTATATCAAACATACTCTAACTGCATCAACATCGTCAAGTGCTAGGAATGTTCGATTTAAAATTAATCTTTTCAGGTCGCCTATTTTCACCGAACTATTAGTATGGTCCGGAAATAGCCGTTCACGAAGTAAACATCTTTTTTTACTGCTTATTAATTTTTCTGACCCTTTTCTCCCAATGTTTTTTGGATACTCCGCAAATTTGAAGCCGGTAATCAAACAAAACTCTTCCGGCCCATACACCATTTTCGTATTGCCTACTCGAAAATATAAACGTTTTATTCCATCTGGATATAAAACAGGGTCCGGCTGGATCTGATGAAGGAACATTTTATGAAACAATAATGCGTCCCCTTGTTAACGAGGGACATCAATAAAATAACCAAAGACAATATCTCGGAAAATAGCACGTCGGGCATCATCTAAAACTTCAAATAGTTCCCATATGTTACCGCCACAGCCTTTTAAGTTCGCAAAGGCTTTCGTATTCATTTAAATAAAATCATGCTGCAGAAAAAACACAAAAACAAATTAGATAACTAAAAAATATTTTTTTAAAAAAATATATGATTACAAACTGCAAATAAAATTTCTTAATTACTAATATATATATTTCCCATAAAAAACAATAACATACACATATATAAACAATTTCCCAAGTCATACAACTAATATATTAACGATAGAAAACAATATTCAACTTAAAAAATATATGATTACAAACTGCAAATACAATTTCTTAATTACTAATATATATATATATATATATATATATATATATATATATATATATATATATATATATATTTACCATACAAAACAATAACATACACATATATAAACAATTTCCCAAGTTATACAACTAATATATTAACGATAGAAAACGATATTCCCAAGTTATACAACTAATATATAAACATTTTATACAAACAATTTCTAACAATATATATATATATATATATATATATATATATATATATATATATATATATATATATATATATATATAACACAAATTTTCAACTTATACAAATGTTTTACTTAAACGACAAACACAAACAATTTCTAACAATATATATAAAACAAATTTTCAACTAATACAAATGTTTTACTTATACGACAAACACAAACAATTTCTAACATTATATATACCACAAATTTTCAACTTATACAAACGTTATACCTATACGACAAATATATATACAAACGACTATTTTTCACTTTATATAAACAACTATACGATTAGAATATACAAGATTTCAGGTTATACAACAACTAAAAAAATATTAACCCTATCAAACACAACAAAATTAAACTTTTTTAACACATCCTTAATACAACAAATGATACAAAAAAAGAGATTGTTGACATTAAAAGAGTAAAAATCTAACCATATTTGCGGGATTGTTGACATAATCCTCCATTTTCTTCAAAAACTAGCAAAAAATCCGAGCTAAGCCAAAGTTAGAGAGAGTTTTTGTGTAGAGAAGGGTGAAAAATGAAGGAAAAAAAACGTTTTTATAGTGAAATTAAGGGGATTTCGCAGATGAGAAGCCCATTTCGCAGATGGGCCTTCTCATCTGCGAAAGTACAAGTGCCTAAAGCACAACTGTGCTTTAGGCACTTGTACTTTCACAGATGAGAAGCCCATTTCGCAGATGGGACCTTCTCATCTGCGAAATGGGTGGTTATTTTTGTAATTTCGATTTTTTTTTGGCTATTTTTGTAATATCATTAGTGTAAATGGCTATTTTTGTAAATTTCTCTATATAATATGTCATCTCAATTTGGGTTACAACAAAAGTGGTTTATATATAATGCTTTTTAATGATATATATAATATGTCATCTCAATTTGGGTTACAACATAAGTGGTTTTTATAGTGGTTTTGATTCAATATATATATGTGCCAATAACAACACCCCTTAGTGATTATATAGCTGAACTAGACAATCTGTGACTGACTTCGATGTGGCACTTTCAGTGTTTGTGACTGACTCATCCAAAAAGGTTCATTTTTTTGTTAATACTTGGAAAAAGAAGGTACGACAAAAGCAGATCGACGTATAAAAGGAAAATCGGTAACTCAAGAATGATAACCATATCATTTCTATTTCAAAAATTTCTGCCTCCACCCTAGAAGAGTCATGGCTTCCGCCATTAATAATCCAGTCGACCAGGAAGAAGTTGTTATCGTGGAGATCGAGCCACCAGCAGAAGTCCACCATGGAACATTCATTTTCGCCATAGCATTTGTTCTGAAATGCATCCTCTACATCGTTAGTCTACTGGAACGTTTTAGTCGCCTCTGGATGTACTATTACCCACGATTATTTGGGGAAATCATACTTCCACCCCCACTTAAGTTTATTATCATCGGTTTAGCTACTTTCGCTGAAATGAAGTCTCAGGGGTCCGAATTTCCTTTCAAAACCCACCCTCGGTCCATGAATGTCGCCGTTACCAGTCTACTCTTTTATGGTTTGGCTTCAGCAGCCCAACATTTCATTTCTGCATGCACACGTCTTGGTCCGGCTTCAGTTTCTGCCATTGTTGCTTGTTGGAATTAATCCTGATTTGATTCATGTTTAACTTAGTTTTAATGCATTAAAGAATGAATAAGTGGTTTCCATATAATTAGCTAATATGGTTAACCAGGTAGTAAAGTATTTCAGTTTCAATTCTTAGTTTAAAGTCTCTTTATTTCAGCATTCAATGTAGTAGTCTATAAATGTTTGGATCCCTGTTTTACTTGTAAGCAGAGCATTCGAATAAACAACTTCCAAAAAGTTCTTCAAGTGTGTGTGCCTCTAATTCTTAATTCAGTTTGCATATTTTGAGTGTGCAGCTTGATATTTTGCTTTCTGATTTCCAACATTTGGTATCAAAGCTTCACGGTTCATGCCCAAATATATCCGCTACGAAGCCATGTCGACATCCAGCCAAATTGTTACAAAAGAAAATGGTGGAGTGCCATTTCAATGTCCGATGTTGACTCCCACGAACTACACCACGTGGGCAATTAAGATGGAAGCTATAATGGATGCCCAGGGAATATGGGAATCCATTGAACCTGTAACCGGAGAAGCTGTGGATGAGAAGAAGAACAAGTCGGCACGAGCTTTTCTTTTCCAAGCAGTACCTAAAGATATTCTGTTGCAAGTAGCAAAGAAGAAGACAGCAAAAGAAGTTTGGGAATCCTTGAAGTTAAGGTACCTGGGAGCTGATAGGGTACAGAAGGCCAGATTACACACACTCAAAAGTGATTTCGAGGCACTACGGATGAAAGACGGAGAGTCTATCGATGAGTTCACAGGAAAATTGAGTGGGATGATTTCAAAGTTTAGCAGCCTCGGTGAAACCCTTGAAGACAGCACAGTGGTGAGAAAGCTACTTGATTCAGTTCCAGATAAGTATCTCCAGCTGGTGGCATCGATTGAGCAGTACTCAGATTTGGATAGCATGCCTTTTGAAGAAGCAATTGGTAGGCTTAAGGCTTACGAGGACCGACTAAAGTCCCGTAGCAGCCAAACAAGTGGGGAAGCGAGTTTGTTACTTACTAAAACAGAAAAGAAGCTCAATCAAAAGTCTTCACAGGGTGGGTTCTCAACAGGCGGTAGAGGACGGGGCTCGTCTCATCATGAAAGAGGGGGTCGATCAGGTGGTTGTGGTAGAGGAAGTGCACGAGGCAGAGGTGGTCGGGGCAATTCATCGGCGCCTCGTGACTCAAGTAATAATCGCCAAAGAGGAAGGCATAAGAGTCATATTATGTGTTTCAATTGTGAAGAATATGGTCACTATGCATCTGAATGCAAAGCACCGAGAAAAAAAAGAGATGAGGCAAACTTGACTCAGACGGAAGAAGAAGGACCCGCTTTATTGTTGACTGTCCATGGTGAAGAGACAAACAACATGGTGCTGCTTAATGAAGACAAAGTGTTCCCAGTAACAAAAGAAAATGAGAAGGATACATGGTACTTGGATAATGGGGCCAGTAACCACATGACAGGGATGCGTGAGTACTTTGCAGAACTTGATGAAAGAGTAACAGGGCAGGTGCGTTTTGGGGACGGGTCTAAATTTCAGATCAAAGGAAGGGGTACAATTCTCTTGGAAGGCAAAAATGGAGAGAAACAAGTCATCTCTGAGGTATATTACATCCCAACTTTACAAAGTAATATACTTAGCCTAGGACAGATGATAGAAGTGGGATACAAGATCGAGATGCTTCATGAATTCTTAAGGGTTCATGATGTTAGCAACAGGTTGATAATGAAGGTACAACGTTCAAAGAACAGGTTGTACAAGATTGTCCTGCATACAACACAACCTGTGTGCCTTAGTGCAACCCTAGATGATACAGCATGGCTGTGGCACGCAAGATTGGGTCACGTAAACTTCCGGGTGATCGAGTCTATGGTGGTAAAGGATATGGTGCGGGGAGTGCCAAGAATTCAGCATCCCACACAAATTTGTGAGGGATGTTTAGTTGCCAAACAGACCCAATATCCGTTCCCAAAAGTAGCACAGTGGCGTGCAAGCTCTCCACTTGAACTGATTCATGCAGATTTGTGCGGTCCTATAACGCCCCAAACACTAGCTGGCAACCGGTACTTCCTTCTCATGGTAGATGACTACAGCAGATACATGTGGGTGTCGATAATCAAAGACAAAAGTGAAGCTTTCATTGCCTTCAAGAAGTTCAAGAATCAAGTAGAAGGTGAAGGGAAATACAAATTAAAATTGTTGCGCACAGATCGAGGAGGTGAATTCACGTCAAATGAATTCCATGAGTTCTGCAATCGGGAAGGAATCAAGAGGCAATTGACTGCACCCTATTCCCCTCAACAGAACGGGGTGGTAGAACGCCGGAACCGTACAATTCTTGAAACCAATAGGTCCTTGCTGAAAGCCATGGATGTCCCAGAAACACTGTGGGGAGAAGTCGTTCGCCACGCCGTGTAGATTTTAAACCGAGTCCCAACAAGAGGAGTAAAAGACATGACTCCATATGAAGCTCTACAGGAGATGAAGCCAATGTTGGAGCACTTTAGAGTGTTCGATTGTGTAGCTCACGTAAAGATACCAACGAATAAACTCACAAAGTTGGGAGATAGAAGTGATCAAATGGTGTATTTGGGAAACGAGGTAGGAAGTAAGGCGTTCCGGTTGTATTGCCCTAAACGAAATAGAATATATGTATCAAGAGATGTTGTATTTGAAGAGAAAAGGAAATGGGATTGGGCTAAAGTCCCCTGTGAAGGCCCAATACTAAGTAATTATTGGGTCAGGTTCCCTAGTGGTGGAATAGCGCAAGATACGATGGAGGAACTCGATCCAACATTAGGAGAAATTGGAAGCCCTAGTTTGCCACCACATGGGTATCAAATCATCCACGACACCAGCAGATCATTCACCTCCTGTGAGCGAAGTCCCAATAAGTCCAGGAGACTCCACGAGTCCAGCATCAAAAGAAGACGTAGACAAGTCCACGTACGATGATACCCCTGTTCGAGGATTTAGGGCCTTAACAGACATTTATAACGAAACCCAGGAGATGGAAGATGATTCAGAGATGCTAATGTACACAGGTGAAGAACCCGCCACGTATGAAGAAGCTTCAGGTGACAAAGAATGGAGAAATGCGATGAAACAAGAACTGGAATCAGTTGAAAACAACAATACATGGAAATTGACTCATCTCCCTAAAGGGGAAAAGGCGATAGGGCTGAAGTAGGTATTCAAGTTGAAAAAGAATGCAAAAGGGAAAGTAACAAAACACAAATCCAGAATCGTCGCAAAGGGATATGTACAGCAAAAGGGTGTAGACTTTAATGAGGCTTTTGCACCGGTGGCTCGTGTGGAGACAATTCGCTTGGTACTAGCATTGGCAGCAAGTGAAGGGTGGAAAGTTCATCACTTGGATGTGAAATCTGCGTTTTTGAATGGAATTCTACAGGAAGAGGTGTATGTTACTAAACCAATAGGTTTTGTCATTGCTGGAAAAGAAAACATGGTCTACAAGCTTAACAAGGCTCTCTATGGCCTACGTCAGGCTCCAAGGGTGTGGAATGATAGGCTTGATAAAACATTGAAAGAAATGGGATTCCAGAGATGTCCACAAGAATATGTTGTGTATAAACTCCAAAAGTCAAACAGGTCTTTAATTGTCGGGGTCTATGTAGACGACCTAATTGTGACAGGTTCAAGTGAAGAACTAGTTGCTGAATTTAAGAGAAGGATGTTGAAGTCTTTTGATATGAGTGACTTGGGAACCTTATCCTACTACCTGGGGATAGAGGTTCACCAAGACAAGGATGGAATTACAATTGGTCAAGTAGGGTATGCTGAGAAGATTTTGCAAATAGCAGGCATGGGAGAGTGCAACCCATCTCAATATCCAATGGAACCTTGATTGGGTTTGACAAAAGATGAAGATGGAGTACCAGTCAATGCTACCGAGTATCGATGCCTCATTGGAAGTCTTCGCTATCTCATCCACTCAAGACCTGATTTGAGCTACTCAGTTGGAGTAGTAAGTAGATATATGGAATCACCAAAGTAGAGCCACCTCAAAGCAGTCAAACACATTTTGAGGTACATAAAGGGGACAACCAATTTTGGTCTAATGTACAAGAAAGGTGGTGATAAAAGGCTTATTGGATTCAGTGATAGCAGCTTTGGAATGGATGTTGATGGCAGAAAAGGCACAACGGGGATGGTGTTTTATTTTTATGGGAATCCAATAACATGGTCATCCCAGAAACAACAAACTGTAGCCTTGTCTTCGTGTGAAGCAGAATTCATGGCTGCAACCACAACAACATGCCAAGCACTCTGGTTAAGAAGTTTGCTGAAGGAGCTAACTGGTTGGAAGGTAGAATGTGTCAGGATGTACGTAGACAACAAGTCTGCCATAGCTCTTATGCAGAATCCTGTTTTCCATGGGAGGAGTAAGCACATTGACACGAAGTTCCATTTCATACGGGGTTGTATTGAAAGGAAGCAAATTGATGTGAAACACATCAGCGGGGAAGAACAAAAGGCAGATATCTTGACCAAAGCACTCCCACGAGTCAAATTTGTAGAAATGCGGAATTTGTTGGGTGTTGAAGACCTGAAGACATAAATCAAGATTAAGGGGGAGAATGTTGGAATTAATCCTGATTTGATTCATGTTTAACTTAGTTTTAATGCATTAAAGAATGAATAAGTGCTTACCATATAATTAGCTAATATGGTTAACCAGGTAGTAAAGTATTTCAGTTTCAATTCTTAGTTTAAAGTCTCTTTATTTCAGCATTCAATGTAGTAGTCTATAAATGTTTGGATCCCTGTTTTACTTGTAAGCAGAGCATTAGAATAAACAACTTCCAAAAAGTTCTTCAAGTGTGTGTGCCTCTAATTCTTAATTCAGTTTGCATATTTTGAGTGTGCAGCTTGATATTTTGCTGTCTGATTTCCAACATTTCTCACTCGGGAAGGATTGGTTCTTTGTGCATTTTGGTGGCAATTGTCGCATCATTATTCTATCTTTGATATTTCATTTCTTTTACTATAACTATGGAGT